TTATAAATAACAGAAAAACATTTAAAAAACAGCAAACATGAGGCTGTTTAAACCATCTTTAAGCAAAACAGGGGACCCAAAATTTAATCGCTATGGGAAGCATGGTCCCAACCATCGCTATGCGAAAATCGCCCATAGGGACCATCGCTAAATGAAGTGTAAAAACACTCTGAAAAAGTCATCGCTAAGCGATTTTGTCACTAAATGGAGCACCCGTTAAGTGAGGCACCACTGTATTTTAGCAAGGCCTGCCAAGATTTTGGATTAACAGTCAGCCTGAAGAAAACGGAAGTTATGGGCCAGGGCGTGGACCCACCTCCTCTAAACCATCTCTACACAAGAATTTGAGGTTGTTCATAACTTTGTGTACCTTGGCTCAACGATCTCTGACACTCTATCCCTAGATGTGGAGCTGGATAAACTCATTGGCAAAGCAGCTACCATGTTTTCTGGACTCACAAAGAGAGTATGGCTTAACAAAAAGCTGACAGCAAATACCAAGATCCAGGTCTATAGAGCTTGTGTCCTGAGTTCACTCCTGTACTACACTGAGTCCTAGACCCTTTGTGCATGGCAGGAGAGGAAGTTGAACATGTTCCCTATGCGTTGCCTCCAACACATTTTTGGCATCACCTGGCAGGACAAAGTTCCGAATAGTCTAGTACTGGAATGAGCTGGAATTTTTAGCATATATACATTACTGAAAGAGCGCCGTCTACGTTGGCTTGGCCATGTTGTGAGAATGGCTGATGGTTGGATTCCGAAAGATCTCCTGTATGGAGAATTAGTGCAGGGAAATCGCTCCAGAGGGAGACCACAGCTGCGATAACAGGATATCTGCAAGCGGGATCTGAAGGCCTTAGGAATGGACCTCAACAGTTGGGAAACCTTGACGTCTCAGCGTTCAGCCTGGAGGCAGGCGGTGTATTATGGCCTCTCCCAATTTGAAGAGACACTTGGACAGCAGGTCAAGGCAAAGAGGCAGTCCCGAAAGCAGCAAAATCAGGAGGTTTGACAGGGGATAGATTGTCTTCATTGTGGAAGAGATTGTCACACCAGACGCTGTTCCAAGACCTCCGTACAGAGCACGATACCATAGTCTCTCGAGACTGAAGGATGCCTACAGGTGGAGATTGTGGAAGGAACACCCGGCCCCTGATGGGGGTCCTGTGGGGCACCCCTAAACACTGAGGAGCCCTCTTGGCCTCTGACAGGACTGGGGCTGTGCAGCCCTGTTCTGAGTGGCAGGTGCAGCTGGGGGGATCACCATGCCTGGGGGGGGCAGGGCACAGAAGGGGGCAGGAGGTGCAGGGGCCATGATCATGAAAGTGGTTTTCCCAGGGTGAGGCTCATCCATTGCACTTCAGGTGTGCTGATCCCTGTGATTTCCCCAAATGTGGGAAAATCAATTGCATAATTTGTGGTAGTGGGGGACTGCGTTTGTGATTTCCCCTGGTCTTTCTAGAATCACTCCCCTTCAGTTTTTGGCTGTTTTCACCACTCTCTGCCATTTAAATCTGCTGCCATAGGCCTGTTGGTTTTCCAGGTGGGCTCCAGGAGGCAGATCCTGGAAAGCCAGCAGAGCAGATGTCAGAGTGGCGAGGTCTAATGTGGCTGCCACAGCGAGCAACCTCTGGTGCCGGTGATTTCCCCTGGTCTTTCTAGAATCACTCCCCTTCAGTTTTTGGCTGTTTTCACCACTCTCTGCCATTTAAATCTGCTGCCATAGGCCTGTTGGTTTTCCAGGTGGGCTCCAGGAGGCAGATCCTGGAAAGCCAGCAGAGCAGATGTCAGAGTGGCGAGGTCTAATGTGGCTGCCACAGCGAGCAACCTCTGGTGCCGGTTCAGAGGCCTCCTAGCACAGTGGTGGGAGGCTTCTGGGTGGTGGTGGCTGAACCCTTTTTTTTTTACAGTATTTGCTCCATAAGACTCACATACTCCCCCCCACTTTTTGGGGGGGAAAACTGCATCTTATGGAGCAAAAATACGGTAATGTGGCTGTAAAATCAATTTATGTAATAGTATTAAAATAACTGATTGCACTTTGTATTTTAATAAGTGCCTCATAAAGTCTTACAAGTAATGTATATTTTATAAATGTATCGATCAGTATTTTCTTTGGGAAACAAATCAGTAAGTTGCTGCAGCCCTCTGATTGGGTTATTACTGTCTATTGCATTTGAAACAGTATCAGCTGGCAGATCTTAATATTTATTTAATAAATCTTTTTAGTTATAGATTCTTTTTAATGCTGTCCTTCATTGCTTAAGAAAAAAAAACACGGATAACTCATACCTCCCTCCTCCACATTTTGGCCTGTTGTTACCAACACATTTGTGATTGATGTTAGTAAGAATGTGCGCATGGTTTTCTTGTAGCCAATTTGTTCTACTTCCCTAGTGTCATTTGCAGTTACTTTATTCTGGTAAGAGAGGTATTGCATACAGTATTTTATTGCCAGTGTATGTTCAAGTGTGACTAGGCCCAAGCAAGGATCCTACTAATGTGGCGAAAAGGTAACTTCCTAGGATGAAGTGTGTGTTCATCCCAAGAAATATGTTTTCATGTTTTTTATAAAAGGCTGTGGTCATTCTATTTGCTAAGTGTATTAATCTTCTGTTTGAGCTCGTTAGTGGGGAACTAATAGCCCAAAGATGCAGTCTTGCCCTTGGAGCATGTAGACTTTAAAATCTTCCTTTGGAGCCTTGTGAAAGTGTTTGTGGAATGTGTTAGCAGCAAAGGGATGAGTCACAATTGAGAGGGAAGTTAGGAACTTCGTGTGTGTTGTGACACCTCAAAAATTCCCCCAGCATAATTTAAGTATCTTTATATATTTAAAACCTTTCTAAATCACTTTACATCCAGGTGGATTCTGCTGTATTGTAGAAATAGATTAATCATACCAGTAATATATGCAGTACATTAGTAACAGAATGGAACAAGAGACAGATAAAATGATGAAAACACAAAACAGCCAGAAGCATTCTTCACAGTTGAAATGACTTGAGGCCAGTGGGAGAATTTTTGCAGTGTGTGTGGATCCTTTAAGGGGCTCACAGTCCCTAGGAAAGATTAAGCGTGTGCTGTGTCCTCCACCCCCAATTCATCAATTGCACTAAAAGCATGGAAGCCTCAAATTGAAGGCCATGGGAGGCTTCCCCCCCAAGCCTGATTGCTGAAAGTGGGGGCCATTTCTATGTATCATATTGGCCAAAATCCTGTTGCTTAATGTAGCATGCTAAAGTCAGTCACAGGTAAAAGAGATCCATTTCAATCAATGGAACTTACTGAGGAGTTGACCTGTTAAATCTCCATTAATTCAGTGGGTCTACTCTTGTGCAAATTGCTACAATAAGCATCAGGAATTAGGTGATTGATAGTATCTTGACATGGATAGATTGGTGTGTGTGTGTGTGTGTGTGTGTGTGTGTGTGTGTGTGTGAGAAAGATGCACAGTGCAATAGTCTTGCTCTTTGCTGGTCTGATGCCCATAGAAGATTATCACAAGGGTTAGGGTTAGGCTCTCGGGCTAAAAAAGTCTTGCCATCTGTTTTAGATGTTGGAAAGTTGTTTGTTTACATTACTGATTAATTAAAATATAACAAGGAAGGTAGCAGACTACCAAATGATTGTGAGCAAAATTTGGTGGGGGATACATCGAAATAGGTTAGGCTAATACAGGGTACAAACAGATGCTATTGTTTCTGTTCTCTTACTGCTTGCTTTAAAGAAGTAAGAGAGTTGAAAGTTTTAAATTGTATTACAAATATCACTGAACAATTTGTTTTAGAATAATTACACGTTTGCAAAGTGTATGAAGTAGGATAAGGCACACAAACAACAAATATGTTGTATCAGTGTATTGGCTTACATTCTGTTTCAATAAATTAATCATTAGCAACACAGCCCTAACTACCCTGATGTTGATGCTGTGTTGGTAAATTAGTGCTGGCCTTTGAAAGAGAGCAGCACCATGGCCAATGTGCTATTGTGGAGATCCCCACTTTTCCATGAGAAAGGATCTAGAGTCCCTCCATTCCTCCAGATGAACCCAGTTTAAACTGGTAAACTAAACTAGCTCAGGAGATGGCAGAGTGTGGTGATTGTGAATGCAAAGTGAACCCGCTGTGTGAGAAAGATGCACTGGCATGAGGCTGCCCTGGCTGGCATGAGGCGGCAGTTTTGGATACACAAGGAGATCCCCCAATTTGCTTCTCTCCAACTTCACTTAGGATCATTTTATGTGTAATCTATTATTCTAAAAAGCTTCTTAGTAAAGCATTTGCATGTGTGTATATGCATGCACATGTGTATAATGTGCACACACACACATGTATGAACCAAAATATATGAACCAAAATTTTGTGTAATAGAAGATACAATGTTGGCTTGATTTTGTATGCAAACAGGGCTTAGTAATTTCTGTTAATATACTGTACATGATTTCTAACGGTCCTAAATTCTTAGTGAGATATTAAAGATTTTGATCAATCTTCTCATATAGGATCGAGGAGATGAATTTACTTACACAGGGAGTGGTGGAAGAGATCTTTCTGGCAATAAAAGGATTGGAGAACATTCTTTTGATCAAACTCTAACACACATGAACAGGTAGGCTTTGATTATCTTTGCCAATTTGTTTTATTTAAAGGAAGAAGCATTCAATAGAGAAAAGATTTAATCCATAGCAGGTTTATATACATTATTGATCTTATGTTGTTTAGACTTTGATTTGACAATGACTGTAATTGTTCCTGGAATTATATATAACTTGGATCGGAAAATCCTTGGTTCAGGGCCATGCATTGTTATCTTATTACATGGGTGCTGTGATTGATCAGGGACATGGTGGCGCTGCGGGTTAAACCGCAGAAGCCTCTGTGCTACAAGGTCAGAAGACCTGCAGTCGTAAGATCGAATCCACGCGATGGAGTGAGCCCCATCACTTGTCACAACTCCCGCCAACCTAGTGGTGGGAAGCATGCAAAATGCAAATAGGTACCACCATGGTGGGAAGGTAATGGCGTTCCATGTGTAGTCGCGTTGGCCACGTGACCATGGAAGATTGTCTTCGGACAAATGCTGGCTCTCTGGGTTGGAAACTGAGATGAGCACCACCCCCTAAAGTCTGACACGACTGGACAAATTGTCAAGGGGAACCTTTACCTTTTAACCTATGATTGGTCATGTCTGAATTGTATGGCAGGGGGAGAGAGAGAGGAAAACGTTGATATAATACAGTTCTTCGTGGTGTCCATGCTTGCACAAAGGAGGAGTGTGAACGCCTGTGCAAACATTGTCTCAGAAAGTTCCAGAGCCTCAAAAACAAAAGTGTCTCTCGCCCATACCGTGCAAGTGTATCCCCTGCTCTCAGTCTGCCGCTGCAACAGCATACAACGGACTGCTCTGGAGCCTCCACTCACTTACCTTTGATTTTTCTTCATAAGTCCTCTGTCCTTTTTTTCCTTTTTCTTCTTTC